TGTTTGGCAGTTTTAAAATGCTGGGGAATTAAATAAATCCCTCGGAATTTGGGGGTCTCCAACCTAGTGTCTCTAGCTTGTAGTTCTTGTACTTTTTTCTTGTATTTCTCGTCCTTTTGGGGGCTTCAGCAAAGCCTGGTGTAATCAGCAGGAATTGTGACAACCATCTCAGCTGTGTACTAGGTAAGACCTCATGCCTTTGATGAGAATTTGAGAGGTCCCTGCGGTTTACAAGTTACAACCAGGGACTGTCACATCCTTATTAAAATATGGAGGGGCTTGGCGTTTTAGAGAAATATTGAAAAGTGGAGAAAAACTTTCTCTTTCTAAGTAATTTTTCCACATGCTGGTATTTTGGCAAACCAACCTACTATACCATGTCAGTGAGTTAATGACAGGCTGGTGAAATGAATGTTCACAGCTTTAAATCAGTCTTTTCTTTAGGAGCATTTAAATTGCTTCATTTTTATTCAAGGTAATCTTGACTACAAAACTACAGGCCTGCAGGAAACCCATATATTAATTGCAAAAGCTGGATCTGAACAGGTTTTCCACGCTGCTGATCATATATGGCATCCCAGATGAGTTGCAGATCTGATTTTATAGTCATGTTGTGTCAGGAGTTTAGACTGAGCATTACTTGTAATTCTGTCATTTATCTCTACTGTTTCTTTATTAATGTCTTCAGCGTTCTTGGTCTGTCCTCAATCTTTCACATTTTGTACTGATGCTTTATTACAGTGTTTTCCAAATTTTTTAAGTAAAAATCTTTCAAGATGAACAGCAGTCCTTCCTTGGGAGCTGACTGAAAGCCAAATGATCTTTATTCATATAGCTATTGCCTTGCAGATCCCCTCTTTGGAAATCACTGTTCCATTATGTGCTATTGCTTCCTTGTCCCTACACGCCTTGATGAGCAGTAAAATACAGTGTTGACATTTAAAATATTGTCACTGGCATGGCTGATGTGTGAGTGAGTGAGGGAGGGAGTGTTCTCCACAATGGTGATTTTTCTGGGGCTCTGAAAATTCAGGCTCTAGTGATGGTTACTCTTTTTTGTATTGGCTACACTTGCAGTATATTTTTGAGGTGCATTTTTGAGCTTTGCTTTGCAAACATAAATGGAACTGTTCGTCTCATTGTAGTTGCTCTCAGCCACGTCCATCCTGTGTCTTGTCCTCCAGCTGCTGCAAAAGATTTGTGCAGCACACTGGATATAACACTTTACTGCATCACAGCAGTTAAATATGAAAAAAAAAAACATCACTCAGAGCTTGCATGGCCTTTACCCACCATGCACAAACTGTCACCTAGGGTGTATTATAAACTTTTCTGTGTAAGTTTTCTGTATTTTAGGTTCACAGTTTGTCACTGAGTTGTTATTTTCATTTCTGTGTCTTTGATCTCACAAAAAGCTCTGCCCTGGTCAAGGAAGCTGTTGACACAGTCCCCCTGGCCCATGTGGGCCTTTGAGCTCGTTATGGGGTGAAAGAAGGATCATGAAAGCAGAGCTTCAGAAAACACCATAGCTGCCAAATAGCAGCATTCCTAAAGCTGTTCTGTGTCATACTGTGGGCTTCTGCTTTGGATCTGAGCTCTCTCAGATTGCTGTCCACAATGTTCTTTAATCAGTGTGGCTGTAGCAATACAGAAATATTAGCAGTAGTTATTGTTGTGTCAACGTAGAGGAATCCATCCTGTGTAGGTACTGCCATACAAGCAGAAAATGGATGGACCCTTTGCCCTGAGCTTACTGTCTGAATGTCTACAGTACACAGAAGGTAAGTGGGTATTGGGAGATTTGGAAGCTGAGAGAAATGAAGTTATGAGCAAAGAAGATTCACCTTCACCAGCTGAAGATTGCTGATGCCTTTAGGTATGTTCCCCATCTGAAATGTGCCACAACTCCTCCAGCTTGGTCAGCAATCCCTCATTGTTTCTGATGTATCTTTTCTGGGAGTCAAAGGGCTGGCACAGAAAGTCCTGGCTTGTTCTTCACTTGTCACTTTGTCCATTGGCTGTGCTGGAAAGCCCCAGTTCTGCAGTGCTAGGCTCTGTTCACACATCAGCCTGAAAGCACAGCCTCAGCACAGTGCAGATCACCAAATACACACTGTTCCATGTGAAATCTAGTAGTATAATAGGTTCAATCTCAAATCCTGTTCTAGCCAGTCCCATTAGAACATGAGAAGCTGACATGGTTTTCCCTTCTGCTTCTGTATACAAGTTCAAGCACAAATATAGAAAGTTTTTTTGTGGTACTAATGGAAATTTCTGAATCTATAGCAGGTCCCTTACTCCATAACTGGCATAGTTTTAATAACAACTATCCATATGTCCTTGACTTGTCATTTGTTAGAAAACTCAAAATCTAAATGGTTCACATTGGAGAAATAAAGGTCAAGATACAGGCAATTCCTCTGTATTACCAAAGATAATAAAAGGGGAATATATTTGCTCCTGGTTATGCTAATTCATCACTCCAAGCACGGTGTGATTGCATTCTGTCTAGTCAGTGCTCTTCTTCGTATCTTAAAGAAGAGATATAGCAAAAGTAAAGGGCACTTGGAGATAGACAGGGAAAATAATTGAGTCACAGAGAGTCTTCTGTTTGAGGAGGGATGGGAAAGATAGGGATTGTTTTAATTTAAAAAAGAGACAAATAAAAGAGAACGTGACAGTAGTGCACAGAATGATGAATGATACAGAGAAGGTGAACTGGACACTCTTGCTTGCCCTTTCATAAGTACAGAAGCAGAGGGACATCCAATAAAGCAGAAAGGCAAAAGTAATAACACTATTGAAAGGGTGTTTTTAAATTGTAACTGTCTTGTTTCCAATGGCTCATCTTCTTTCTCCATGATTCTAGAGCATGACCTGAGGGGCAAAGACCTCCAGGAGATGAATTCAAGTGGTCTTGCTAAGCAGTCATTGCAGTCATGCTGCAAAAACTGCTGATTGGATCAGGTTATTTGGCTTGTGTGAAGGGGAAGAACTTGTCAGACAGTCTTAAGGAACCTTTTTAGTCTCAATATAAGTGGAAGTTTAGGTAAAGACATTAATGTGTGTAATGATACTATGCATGCATTTGCTAGATAGAGTAAAAAAGCAACTATTCAGGACAAGAATCTACTACTCATGGAAGGAATATTCCTCTGCAGTTAACCCCCATGTCATTTCTTTGCTGGTCTCCCTGAATCTGCTCATGACACTTTTATAAAATGCTGATGTTGTGCCATGTTGGCTCAGGCTCTGCTGTCAGGACCAAGCAGACTTCTGTCCCCAAGGAAGTTGTTGGAAGCACATTTATTCTTCCTGAATATTCCTTTCTGATATTCTCTTACTTTTGGATGTTCCATTTTTTTATTCATCTTTATTTGATAAGTTTGTACCTGTCCCCTGCCTTATTGTTAAAAAAAAGAGAGATAATGAGACATGCAAATTCCAGATGAGTGAAATCACATTCTGGTTAGATTCTTACAGTATCTGTTTGGATCCATTGTTACTTTCAGACTTAATCCCTGTCAGTCTTTTTTGTAGCTGTGCAATTATTTTATAATTCCTCACCAGGCTGTGCTATTTGATGTAGCACAATCCTGGCCCACCTGTGGTGATCATCACTTCAAAGCCCCAGTTCCTGTGGTCATTTTGAGTGCATGCCTGCCTCATTTCTAATGGTCTGTTGTGGTAATGTCAGCTGTGATGATTCAGCCCTGGATCACATCTGCAAGGTGGCTTTTCCTTTTCTTGCCTGCTGCAGTTTTTCCCATCTTAAAACAGGTGAAACGCCTCAGCTATTCCTGATGGAAACCACTTGCTATGATGTAGGGAAAACTGAATTTTTACTAATAGCCTTATAATTAGGTCTTTGTTTCTCACTCACCTACAGGACATCATGAAAGCATTTGCCAACATTTTTCTTATTAAACTTTGTGCAGCAATGGAGCATTTAAAATATCTACTACTCAGTATAGAACAGATGTATTTTATCAGTCACATGAAATGTATAATTTGTAAAAGTTTATGAGAGATATGTATTTATGTGTATGTGTGTATATATCTATTTACTGTGTATATGTGCTGTTAGGGATGTATTTGCCTGGCACTACAGTCCAGCTCCCTCAGAAATAGTTACAGCCCTGGAATACCAACCTACAACCTAGTTCAGCCATTTGAAGTCACTGAGAAAAATTAATTGTAAATTTAATTTAGTACTCAGAGGTATGCAAATATTATGTCTAAACTCAAGTGAAAAGATGCATTCAGTCTAAGTTTTTGGCATTTGTCAAAAGCCTTCCAAAAACCATCCAGGCTGGAGGCTAAGTTGCCTTTCATAAATCTCAGCTGAAGACTTTCTGTTGACTTCGTAGGACTAAATTGTTTCTATTGTTCTCAAGTAATTACATTTTTGTTGTTATCGGTGGAAAGAGCCCCACTGGGTTGAGCATGTAAGTATATGGAAATGAGGGGAAGGAGGATTTGTGTTAGTTAAGTGGAGATGATAAAGCTGAAAACATAGCAGCAGGACATAAATCAGATTTTTCTTCTTTTTCTAGTTGGCTTGTCACAATAAAACACTGCAACAGATGCTGAAGCCAGGGTCAGATCCAGATGAAGGAGATGAAGCCTTGAGGTTTTATGCCAAACATACGGCACAGATAGAGGTAAAGGATTCTCTCCAGAAGATGGACTATGAGACAAGTCTGTATCTTGCGTGTGGTGTATCTCCTCCTCTTAAGCTTCCAAATGGAATGGATTATTTATGAGGAGGAGGTTGAATAATATGCTTTTGGCTGTGGGAGATAAAGGAATACACCTATATTAGAAGTGCCTCCAAACCATCGTTTCACAGTAGCTTTGCTGTGTGTTAGCAAACATGTTTTGTTAGGAAAATAATGACTGTGGATAGGACCTGTGTAATGAAGTCAAGAATCCTCTTGTATGGCACATCACTCAAATAAATAATCATGAGTTTCAAAGCCATTGATGCTGGCTGTTCAAATTAAAACTCTGGCTGGAGTACAAAGAGGTTTTGAAGTGGTGTAGACATTCAATATGGCTTTTGTTTAAAATACCAAGGCTTGGCCTGGTTCAGCAGTTCTGCTCTCTATTTTAAACTTTACACCTGCCATGGGTTGGACTTAGATAAAGGTCCACAGAGGTATCCTACCACAGGATAGGTGGAACCTCCATGGCCTTGGCTGTCCAGAGAGCAGCTCAGTGCTCCTCTTAATGCATTTCAATTTGGGTGCTGCTGAGGTCTCTCTTAGCAATTATCATCCAGTTTATCTGTGTAGCTTGTAAATTTAGGCATTAAGCAAGCACCGTGGTCAACTTTTATGTGGCCAATAGCTTCTTGTGGAAAAGTGAAACTCAACCCAGCATTGCTGCTGTACAAAATAGATAATTGCATGTCTTTGAAAGCAGTCCTAGACCTGTTTGGTGTTTCAGATGTTATCTCCCCTATATTAACATACCTCATTTGTTTGATTTGAAATTCAAATAGTGGGTTTTTTTTATTTTCACCAGTGGCTGTAGGGAAGCATGGTTGTAAGAATCAAAAAGGGTTTTCTACCCATTTCTGTATTTTTAGTAATGCAAAGTCAACAATCAGAATGGGGAAGCAAATTTGATGGCAGTGTGGTGTGATAAAATAAAATCTAGCTGCCTCACCAGTAACTTGCTAGGTGCTGAAGTGCAAACAATTCAAAATCTTGGGGTTTGTCAAGTAAAAAGACAAAGACTGACAAGATACGAGTGCTGTCTGAATAACAAAGTGTTATTTTTGTATATTCACCTTTACAACTTATCCCATCATAGAAAGAGATTCAAGATGAGAAAAGTATTTTGTAATCAGAGCAGAAAGCCCCTGAACTTCTCCACTTTTTGCTGGGAGAGATTTGTTTCAATTTGCTGACAAATTGAAGCATTCTGAATTACAACATTTTTTATATTTGGGGAAGTCTGAACCTAGGTTTTTCTTGAGACTTATATTTGCCACCTTATTCAGGCAGGCTTTTGAAAATAAAAACAGCTTTACTCTGTTTTGGGATTGATTGGTCCAACTTTATTGTAATGTTCAAATAATTAATACATTAATTTGTAAATAAAAAGGGAGCTGTGAACAAGAAAAGATATGACAAAATTAATTGGATAGTCACAGACTCTGACAAAAATGTGCATTTTATTTGTAGATTGTTCGCCATGATAGAACAATGGAAAAGATTGTCTTTCCTGTCCCCAATATTTGTGAATTCCTCACTCGGGAATCCAAAAGTCGGGTATTCAATACAACAGAGAGAGATGAACAAGGGAGCAAAGTCAATGACTTTTTCCAGCAGACTGAGGATCTGTACAACGAGATGAAGTGGCAAAAGAAAATTAGGAGTAAGTACTGTAATTTTAAAAAAATAGCTTCATTATGCTAAAACCTTGCTTTTAAACCTTCAAATACTTTAATTTTAATGATACACTTTTCTCTGCTCACTCTGACACTACAACAGACAAAACTGTTCTGGGCTTGAGAGTGTAGGTCAGCTGAGATATTTGCATGCCTCCATAAAATAAGTGTAATATGGAACAGTTATTAATTTGTTCAAGATGATGTTTTGGACTCCAAAAGTTAAATTGAGGGACGGAAGAACTGGGTGTAGTTCTACTAATCTTGATAGTGTTGCACCTAATTAAGCCAAGGCCCCTAATATTTAACAAAAACATGTGTAGCTGCATATTTGAGGTTTGCAGATTCCTGAAAGGCCATTAAAAGACTCATAAAAGTCAGTCACTTAAAATTCTCTCTCACCAGAACCTCAGCTGCTTTAGATCTGCCCAACTCCCATGGAATCAGTCCTGCTCTGCCAGTCCACACCAGCCTGGCATGACTGGCCTGCAGGGTGTCCCAGCTGGCCCATGCTGGTGCACGTCCCGTGGTACTGGGGAGGCACATGTGTGGCCTTGAGCTGCTTGGTCAAGATCATGGGGGAGAAATCAAAGCAAGGACACCAAGAGGAGGGGCAGGGAAGCCCTACCAGGTATGCTGAATGTCTTCAGCTCCCTGGTGGGCAGTACAGCAGCTGGCCCTTGGCAGGAATGGGGCTATGGCCCATGTTCCTGGGTCAGAAGGCTCCTGCCAGCTCAGCCACTGACCTTTGGAGCAGAAAGTTGTATTTTATATATCATAGAATCACAGAATGGTTTGGGTTGGGAGGGAACTTAAAGATCACACAGTTCCACTCCTCCTGACATGGGCAGGGACACCTTCCACTATCCCAGGTTGCTCAGAGCCCTATCCAACGTGGCCTGGGACACTGCCAGGGATCCAGGGGCAGCCACAGCTTCTCTGGGAAACCTGTGCCAGGGACTCACCACCCTCACAGGGAACAATTCCTTCCTGATATCCAACCTAACCCTACCCTCAGTCTGAAGCCATTCCCCTTGCTTTGTCACTCCAGGCCCTTGTCAAGAGTCTCTCTCCATCTTTCCTGTGGGTTCCCTTCAGGCACTGGAAGGCCACAGTGAGGTCATTCCAAAGCTTTCTCTTTTCTGGGCTGAACATATATAAAAATGCCTAAAAGTGATCACTTCATTCACTGCCAAAAAGCAGATGCTCTTAGAGTGTCACACACCTACTCACAGCAATTGTTCAGGAAGGAAGGAAGGAATAGGGTCTAGAGCAGCAGGATAGGCTGAGGATAGAATGAATGTGATCCTGAATGTGATGGAAACATGGATGTTATTGCAATTTTCTATACGTCAATTCCCAGGCTTTAATTTTCAGCAGCAGCAAGTCTTCAGCATGAGCCCCATTGACCCAAGTCTGCTTCTTTTGGTGGCACCCTAAAAACTTAGTAGTGGCAAACTGACCAGAATATAAGTTGAAAAATACATGATTCCAGAATCTGCAGTCTATTTGGGAATAAAAGTCATTGTATTGTAGAAAAAATTACTTCAGTAAAAAAAAATCTTATCTGGGGGTTTTGCATTAGAAACACAAATAAAAGAGCCAACCCAACAATTAGATAGACCAGACCTGCCTAATACTGTAAACAAAGAAAATTGCTTTATTTTTATTCAGAACAGAAATTTCTCAATTCCTTTCATTAATGGAATATCCCACAAGTCCCCATGCTGGATTTCTTTATATTATTTGAAAAGATAATACAGGTTTCATTCTTTAGCCAAGTGTCTGTTAGCATGAAGTCTGTGCTTCTTAAATTGACAGATGTCATTTTTGCAATGGCTCCAAATGCTTAAATCTGAGCAGTCAGCAGCACAAGGTTATCACAGTGAAATCTGAATATTTACCTAATTGCTATTAAAGGCTATTTAGACTAAAACCTGAGACAGTCATATGCAGTTGAAGGAGTCTGCTGTTTATAAAAACTTAGCTGGGTGCTCTGCATACTTGCAGGAAGTTTTCAGTACTTTAAAATCTAGTTAGGAGGTATGCATCATGTTTGAAACCTCTCTGACCAGAGATGTTTTTACACTATTGCACATAGGATCTTGTTTCAAATGTCCATTTAAGCATATTGTAGTGCATTAATATATATGAAGTGCTTCCCTGAGTCTTAGCACCCTCTGATCTTGTTCCTGGCCTTCCTGTTGAACCATGTATGTGACTCTAGACACAAATTCAACTCTGTTTTGCACTGTTTCCCCTTTTAGTCTTTTCTAGCTAGGCTGTAGGTTCTCTGGGGTATGGGCTATTTCTCTGTGTTTGTACAGCACTTCACATATGGAGATCATGGTGTGCTTGAGTCCTTTCCAGCAGGAGTACAGAGCTGTTGGTCAGCAGGTGACCATGAACTTCTGAGCATCACACAGGAAACAGTCAGCTTCTGTAGAAACAAAACCCAGGCAGACCAAATTTTGCCTGCTTCCCAAGCAGATCAAAATGTTTTTAGTTTGACAGAGGTGGGGAAAATGCTCCAGTTCTGACACCATGCCTGTTCCATCGTTCCTTGCCTGTGTCATTGGGGTACTTGGTCCAAATAGGTCATCTGGATGATACATTCTGGGTGTTCTGGTTGACTGGTATTCAGAGTGCTAAAATCCATTTGTTTGCTTGGTTTTATGTCCCCATGCACAGAAGCTGCAGATTCAGATGCAGCTGAAAAGACTCCCTTGCAAAATATCCAGGCCTAAAATCTTACCAGAGGCAAAACTCTGGTATATAATAAACTGTATTGTGATCTTTGGATTAAAAGCTCTGCTTGAAACACTGTTTTATGGCAAATGTATGTTTAATATTTGTCTATTTTAGTTAATTTTAAAGATCTACATATTTTCTACATTAATCTGTATTTAATTCCCTTGGGGCCATTGGTGATTGAATTTCTGCTTGCTTTCAGCTTATTGATTGCTGCTTTTCTTCCCTTTCTAGATAATCCAGCCCTGTTTTGGTTCTCCAGACACATCTCTCTCTGGGGAAGCATTTCCTTCAATCTTGCTGTATTCATCAATTTAGCAGTTGCTCTGTTCTACCCTTTTGGAGATGATGGAGATGAAGGCAAGTAGAGTTTGGTCTTATTTTTTTGTTTTAATTTTAGATGCTTTCATTTCTAAAGGTAACAAATAAAGCTGCATTTTCAGGTTCAGTCATATCTGGAAACCATTTAATGTCTCCTAAGTAGGTACCAGATGTTGTCTGAAATGTGGTGGTTGATTTGTGTGTCACATGGCCCACACAATGCAGAGTAGAATAGACAGAGCATAAGCTGGAGATTATCTAGATGATCTCAGCTAATTTTTTTATATTGCCATATTGCAGTGTCCTACTGCACACATTTAGCTGCAGCTTCTGAACTGAAGGAGGATTCCTGGCAACAGAGGGACAGAGACTTCTTAAGCCTGACCAAATTGAATGACTTGCAGTCTTGAAAACATATGGAAGAGAATTATTTGAAAACTAGCTTGTTGGCTTTTGACTATATTGTTTATTGGCATAAAAGGGTATAAATGTTGCAAGGGATAAATGCATTATGTAAAAATACTCTTAAAACTTAGGATTCTGTCTCTGCTTCATCCCATGTCACAGGAAATATTTAATGAAATTTTTTATTTGCTATGAATGCAGCAGACTAGCAGGAGGCCTCTTTGAAGCCCAAACAAGCTTAATTGGGATAAAGCAGACCAAATAGTTCAGAATACTGGTAATGGGAGCAGAGCCACTCACCTCTGGGCCTTTGATTCATGGCCAGTCAGTAATGTGACTGAAAGTCACCTCTGTCTGATGGCATGTGAACTGGGCTGGTGGAAGCAGTCCAGCTTCTAGTAGATACATGTGCTTTTCACAAACACCACAGCTGGCACCAGCAAACATTCCTGCTGGCTGGCAGAACAGAAAGGCAGCAGATTAAAATATATTGGCATGGGGACCACACTGCCCTCGCAGCCCAAGGGATGGTCTCTGCAGGTCACAGCTCAGGCAGCTCCACAGCCTTGTGGAGTGAAGCAGAGTTTGCAGGGCTGTGCCCTGGAGAAGGGAAACGTCTTTTCCTTAGGACTTTGTAAACTGGGGAGTCACACAGAGCATGTTAGAGCCCACAGAGAATGAGAGGAGAAATAGAGGGTCAAAAATAAACCTTTTAAGCTACTAAAGTTTAGCTAATCTATACTCATGCAAATCCTCTAGTCTGCAATCAGTAGGTATTAATACTTTTTCTGAACTGCAGATTTATATGGCTTTAGTTTAAGTGGCCCCAGTAATCCAGTGATAGCGCATTTCAGGATTCCAGCTCCTGGTGCTTGTAAAGCCAAAGGGACTCCTGAGCAATAAGGAATAGGTGTGGCCAAATCGCATTAGCAGGTCATGAGGCATCCTCCTTGCTTCCAGCCTCCCTCTCCACCATAGCCTGATCCAACAGCTGGAGTTTGTCTCCCATTTTTCCCCTTCACCCTGTGTAAATCCACCTCTATTCACCTGTATAGAGGTGCCTGGGTTGATCTAATCATCCCAAAATGCTGCCTTTTAGGAGGTGTTTGCTGTTCTTATGTAATATGACATAAGCAAAACTGCTCCAGCTGAAGGCCATTCCTGAAAGGAGCCTAAAAGAAACAAAGGAGACAAGAGCCCATGGTGACAGGACAAGGGGGAAGGGCTTCAAGCTGGCAGAGAGTAGGTTTAGTTTAGATATTAGAAAAAAACTCTACCCTGTGAGGGTGTTGAGGCCCTGGCGCAGGTTGCCCAGAGAAACTTTGGCTGCCCCATTCCTCAAATTGTCCAAGGCTAGGTTGGATGGAGCTCTCAGCAACCTGGGATCGTGGAAGGTGTCCCTACCTGTGGCAGGGAGAATAGGCATTGATGATCTTTAAGGTCACTTTCAACCCAAACCATGATTCTGTGAGGACTCCTTACCTTCAGGGTACCTGTCTGCACATGGTCCTGGTGTGGGTTCTGCAACATGAAATTGCTGGACCTGCAGTAGGGAAGAAAAACTAGTTTGTGAAAGAACCACAGAGAGCTTTGGCCTTACCTTTCAGATGGGCTTGAAAGTAATTTTTTAAGATCCTTTACAAGTGTCTAAATCTTGTTGGCAAAGAAACTCTCTGCCAGAGCTGACCTTGAACCTCCCACACAGAAACACTCCTGAACTTCGGAAGAGTTTGGATGCCATCTGAATGTTGAGGCTAGGGCCTGGTCTCATTGTTTTCTAATCCCAGCGATGCTGCTCAGCTGTGTATCTGTTGCCAAAGAGATAGCATGATTCCTATTGTGAGTCTAGCTAAATTTTCTATTCCCTTCTCCCCCGTCACTGACCTCTCAGTTCATCCCATAACAATAGAAGTCAGTGTACAAGTGTGACAGTGCCTTGAGATCTGAATGTGCTTTTTATATCGCAGCAACATGGTGCGTTTCCAGGGCTTTAAGCCGAGGGTGAGGGAAAACAGGGGCATGGCTCAAAACTCGGGGAGCGCCTGGAGCCAGCATCTTGCAGAGCAGCAGAGACTGGCTGTGCAGGCACCCGGGAGCACTGCAGATGCTGCCCAGCCCTGCCCGGGGCTGCTCCCGCTGTGCCAAGTGCCCCGCTCCCGTGCAGAGGCTCCTGCGCAACACCCGCGGCCCTTCGGGAGGGAGCTGCTTTTTTGGGAGCCGGGGCTGGAAACGTGTCCCTCCTCTCACTCGCTGTGCTGCCCCCAGCACCGGCTATTTCTGTAGCTGAGCAATCATGGAATCAGACCGGAGGGGCCCTAATGATCCCTGCAGAAGGGAGCTGATTAGTGGCTTGCTCCAGGAGAAGGGTAAACTGTTCCATCTCTGAGCACTCCCTGGATTTTAATGGAAATTTCATTAGCCGCTCGTATTATTACCTGTGCAAAAAGCAACAATACTCTGAGAATAATAGCTCCTGCTGCAATTAGGGCAAGCTGTGGTCAGCAGTTGTGATGCATGAATCACGCTTTTGTTAGCTCTGCCGGCAAAGGAATTGATCTTTTGGATCCGTTTCTTGGTGAAAAATGGAGTCTCCAAAGATGCCTTTCTCAAATCTCCCTTTCTCCTCTGTGCAGGCACGCTCTCACCGTTGTTTTCCGTGCTCCTCTGGATAGCAGTGGCGTTTTGCACAGCAATGCTGTTTTTCATCTCCAAGCCTGTTGGCATTCGACCCTTTTTGGTGTCTGTTATTCTCAGGTCTATATATACTATAGGGCTCGGTCCTACCTTGATACTCCTTGGTGCTGCTAATGTAAGTACTTCAAAAGCAACCAGAATTTCCCTTTCAGCAGAAGGAAAGACGTTAAGGGTCTCCTATTAAAAAACTCCTTTGATTAGAGCTGAGCAAAAACTTCTTTTTCTGGTTAATTGGTTAAGCCAAAAAAATAAATCATTTCCAGTCATCCTGAAACAGCAGTGTCAGCGAAGTGGGAAGCTAAGAAAAAAACTGGTTTAGTTTTGTGCATATGCAAATATTTTGCAAACAAAAAAATATGAAATTTAAAGAAATATTGCTGCATAAGGGCAATCAAATCTACAGTTTCATGTTAAAAGAATAATTTTCTCTACCAGTAATCTCAGCACTATTGACACAAATTTGTGAAATGTTTCTGAGACCTTAAATATATTTTCAGGAAGAAAAGAGTTTTCAAAATTAAAAATTCTCTCAGCCCTCTGCCAGATCTCTTAACTTAGACATGAATAAGTTTGCATGCTTACTGAGCTTGGTAAGATACACAGTCGTGCTCACAAGTCATCTATTTAAATTTCTGCCTGACTGCTACAGCTCTAATTCACCCCAGCACCAAGTATTGTGCTGTTTGCCACCAGTTCTGTATGTGAGAATTTCACATACTGAAAAATACCCAGACATATAGTCAAAGGTAAAGGCAAGTAAGCAGCATTTGCCCACGTCAAATTTGTGAACAAAGAAGTCATGTTGAGTCCTCATTCCTTGTCCTGGACTGCCAGAGAGATGAGGTGAGACCCTTTGCTGTTCACTTGTGCAGTGCTGCTCGTGTGCAGGCAAAGCTTGGGAGCCATGGAGAATCTAATGCTGTTGTTTAAATACTGTACTTCAAAAATGTCCTCAGTTCTGTAGGGGTTTTTTAGGGATTTTAAACTGAAGAACACGATCTGAAGGAAATAGATCTCACACACCCCCACACACACTTTCTGTTGTGTTACTATTGTTCTCTTGGTAGTAGCATGCCTCGCTCTTCTTACATAGTCTCGGGTCTAAACTCAAAATTGTTGGGAGTTCACTCCCCAGCTGGATTTTAATGCCTCGTGACATTAACCACGTCATCACTAATGTTATAGGAATAAATCACAATGTAATGAGGCACAGTGCAGTGCTGGAGAGGTGATGTACTTCCACTCACCCTCACGGGCTCATTCCCAGTGCACTGTCACAGCTGGATTTCTCTCACCTCACTCTGGCTATCTACCTAAAGGTTGTGCTTTTAGTCAAACCAACCTATCTAGACAGCAACCCAAACAATAAATACCAAGATTTTTCTGATGGCTTAAACCTAGCCTTTGTTACCCCTCTACAGCTCTGTAACAAAATCGTGTTCCTGGTGAGCTTTGTTGGGAACCGTGGGACTTTCACCCGTGGCTACAGAGCGGTCATCATGGACATGGCTTTTCTCTACCACGTGGCCTATGTCCTGGTCTGCATGCTGGGCCTCTGCGTGCACGAATTCTTCTACAGCTTCCTGGTAAGTACGTGCTGCTGTGGAGGGGAAAACTTTGCAAAAATAGAAAATACCGTTACCCGTGCAGCTGTCTTCAATTTCTTCCTGACAATCAAGCCAAATCATGTGTATTTTTAGCATGCCGTTGTGTTGCTGCCCCTTAGGAGCTGCTGTTTTTATTAGAGCCTGTTTCTGTTAGGACTTATTTTATCTGTTTTAGAGCTGAAAGTTTGCTCCTTTCTTCTCAGACAATCATCACCCAGCCCACTCCTTTTTCCCAGCTTTCTTTATATTCTGTGTTCCTGTATCTTCTGTCAGTCCTAGCATTTTGGGTTGTCCAGGGGTGTGTGCATCATACCTGTACCAAAGGATCCCATTCCTCATCCCCAATACATTTTTAACAAATTACTTGGGAAATGCGGATGGCATGCCTCTGGTGTAGCAGGAAGATTCATCACCTGAAATGTATCCCACTTCATTTTCTTTCGTTGCCATTACCCAGATGGAATGCCTTTTAATAAGTTGGTACAGGTGCAGTGAAAATGAATCACACAAAATTATGCTAAACTCTGCTAACTGCTCCCTTCATGCTGAGTAGCAGTAAAAGGTGTTTCACTGCTCTCGTTTGCTAATCCTTTTGCTCTATAGTGGGACATGTGAAACTGTAGGGAGACTGACTAAACTGTGGTCATTTACATTGATTCACTTTCCTGTTGTGTTTTTTGTCACTTGCTGAATAGTGGTGAACTCCTAGCATTTCAAAGATGTGTTAAGCAGGGGTTTAGTGCTAACTCAAGTAGTGCTCCTGTTGAAGTCAGACTTTCCAGATTTTGACATTGAAATTTGCTCAAACTTTGAAGCAGACTTTAAAGGAGCCAAGATTGTGGCTGTAGCTGCAGGATCCTCTTCAAATAGATGTAACTCTCCTTCTTAAAAAATGCACAAATTACCTGCTGTTCCTTCAATGAGTTAGGTGATCTCTATCCAAAGTGCCAAGCAGCTTAAGAAACATTTTTTGTACTTACTTTTTTTCAGTGATTGCTGTTGACCAATGTCCATGATTCATGGACATTATCCACATAATCAGGTTGCTTCCAGGTGTTCACTTAGTGGATGTAGTCTAAACTCTAATATTTGTTTATAACTGTCTCCCCTCTTTCTTCCTTCATTATTAATCCTTTCATAAGGCTGTGGATTTCAGATAAGTTGTGGCTAATACCTTCTTCTGTGGAGAGTTTTGATAAATCAGTGTGTCACTTTATATCAGTAATCGGAGTGTTTTGAAGTAGAAATACATACATTATAGATAAGGTCCAAAGCACTATAGAACATCAAGAAAATTGTAAAAGAAAAAAAAAGTTAGAGGTTCTTGTAAAGCTCCTGTCACATTTAATTGCTGGTTTAGGCTTTTGACACTTAAAGCAACATTATCTTAATATATACTTTTCTTTAAAGTTAAATACCAGGAAAGCTTATAATGCAGGATAAAGAAGAATAAAAGTTTCTAGTCTTATACAAATAGTGCCATGAATTTAACTTTGTCTTAAAGAGGGGTGGCCCCAATCCTTGTCCATGTGACATTTACATGACTCCATGAACTCAAATAAGTTTACAAATATGTAATTACTTACATGTATGAGTGCATTTTTGAGTTGCAGCCTGTGCATGTTTGTCAGATGAGAGATAACATGAAAAATTACTTTGTAGATAAAGATCCATAGTATGAAGACACTTCTTCAGTTTCAATCTAACCTGGTTTTATACAGGGGGAAACAATGGATCTTGATGGTAGGTGTTGTCCATCTCTGAATCAGGCTCAAATATACTTTGTAGCTTTGGATTTTGCTATAATTAGTTTTAGAATGTAAAGTTCTGTGCTAGATTTTCTCCTCCATAAGCATGCCCAGCTCCCACTGAAATCAATGTGAGTTTATGAAGCTGAGAAGATAGAACATAGCTTAATGTATGTTTCAGTAGTTCAAATTGTTTTCCTGTGTAGAATCTATATACTGCCTCATTTGTATTCATTTTTCCTCTACCCTCTGCCTTCCCCAGCTGTTTGATCTGGTGTACAGGGAGGAGACATTGCTAAATGTGATAAAAAGTGTTACTCGGAATGGCCGTTCAATTATCCTCACTGCAGTGCTAGCACTCATCCTGGTTTATCTCTTCTCCATCATTGGCTTCCTCTTCCTGAAAGATGACTTTATCATGGAGGTTGACAGGTTGAAAATCAGGACCCCTGCTGCAGGTATTGTTTTTTATATTAAAATTTCCTTCTGATGTATCCCTTTTTCTGTCTGCCTAACCTAACTTTTCATCTAAGGACATCAAATTTCTTTATTGGTGCCTGCGTGACTGCAGAACTAATTCCATATACCTTAGAACTCAATTAAGTCTCTGTGTAAAATTTAATGTGTATAGGGTTGTTTTAGACTGGGCTTATTTGTTGAAATGCTAAAATCTAACACATTTGATTTATTATGTTTGCTTCACAAACTTATATTAACAGGAAAATACTTAGGAAATACAGATTATTTTTTTAATAAGTGAAAAGCAGATCGGAGTGGATTGTATTGGTTCTCATCCCACCTTAAAAGCAGCTCATGGTAATTTCCGTGTACTGCGTGAGGCATGTGATCTTAACATGTTCATTAACTGCATTCATTTCATTGCTTTTTAGGCTTCATCCAGCAGAAATTTATTACAGAATTCACATTTCTACTGATAGGGGCATCTTTTAAATTCAGTGTGTATCTCATGATCATCATTGTTAGTGTATAATCCTGGCTTCAGTAAAGTCATTGGGAGGTTTGGAACCAGTTTTAAAAAGGCCAGGATTTCAGCTTTCTGGAATGAGAGACTTTGCTAAAGTGAATAGAGAGCTACAAACTTGCTGTGCTAGAAAAGAGCCAGGTCTGGTCTGTTGAGAGCTTTGTATGTGCTGCCAACCAGCCTGCTGGGAGCATGGGCAGGGGACTAACTGGCTGCAGAGAAATACTTGAGAATAGCTGGTGATTAAATTCCTCGAGGCATGATTTTCCCAAATGCTGAGCCCTTCAGACCTCTACACAAGCACAGAACTGGCGGAACCCAGCCGGGGCTGTGTGCACTCAGTGTTTGCCAGTCTTTTCCTGAAGTTGTTTTTTCAGGATTTAAAGCTCACAAACAAGGCAAAGGTCATTCAAGACTCATGGGCCTGGTGTACTTCAGCAGCTGGTTGAAAACTATATGAAAAAAAAGAACCTGACAGATTTCTTTAACATACCATGATTTTATTTTGTTTTTTATTTTTTTTTCCCTACTGATCATCCATTAGGGGCTAAATTGGATTATATTTGACTTACCATTCATTTTTGTGGCATAACTTAGGGTGTGAAGTCTCACTTTGAAAGGTAGTTGTGACCATCTTAATAAAGCAGGCTACACACAGCTCTGGTCTGATCCAGGGCAGCAGCTCCTGTGTGTTTGTGTTGCTTCTGTTGAGCTCTTGGCAGATTTTTGTGGTGTGGGTATGTTCTTGCTGGCTTCATACATTGCCATTTCTGATCAAAAACTCATCAAGAAAATATGCTGACTGCATGTTGATGGAACATTATGCTTCCCAGGACAAGTGCTTTAAATTTTTTCTTTATAAAGTAGCAGAAAGAGTAAGTCAGAGTGCATGTTTTCTGCATTACACATACTGTCTTAGGCTGTTATTTTGTTGTATAGTTTTGCCTTCATTTTTTCTCCTTAAACCTTTTTGCATCTCTAATATGAAATGCAGAAAATTGTTGAAGGTGCACAAGAGAAAATTGGTTTGATAAAATCAAGCTGATGTACACATTTACCACTTCGGGAATGTTAAATTAGTGTTTTACACAAACCCATACATATTTACAAATGAGTACCAAACTGTGTTATAATCCTTGAAAACCCTTAAATATTCTACATTCAGGATAACTGAACATCAGCTTGGTGTCCTTCTTGTCAGCTTTTGTGAATAATTTATCTAATGGTTTTAAAAACTGACATTATTTTCATATCTGACAGTTGTTTCTTGCTTTGAATATATTTTGTTCTCACCAGAAGCAGCTGCATTTGATGTAGATTCATTAATTTCAGGAGATGAAATGGGAATAGCTGTGATATACAGTAAATATAAAACTGTGTTTTTGTTCACTGTGATTGCTTTGAGCTGTTGAGGCAGACTCTTTTGAGGAGGGAGGAATTGCCGGTGCAATTTGTTCTGTTTTTTCTTCTTCACTCTCCAACCTGGTGATTCGCTCCTAGAAAATAATGATTTAAAACTTTACATCAATGTAATGCCTGTCTTTTTGTCAACATCCCACTTTTTCCACAGGTATTGGTGAAGTTCCCACTACAACCCTGACATCAATGATGGGAGCCTGTGCAAAAGAGAACTGTTCCACGAGTATCCCAGATCTTAACCCAGGTCAGTACAGAAGTTCCCTCAGACAGATCACCCAGAACCAAGTGATCCATGGAAATGTTCAAGGCCAGGTTGCACGGGGCTTGGAGTAGCCTGGTCTAGTGGAAGGTGTCCCTGCCCATGGCAGAGGGTTGGAATGAGATGGACTTTAAGGTCCCTTGCTACCCAAACCACTGTGAGGTTCTCTGATCTGTGTGTTGTTGTTGCAAGGACTTCTGCTGGTGTGAGAAGTGACAGTGACTGTTGTGAGTCAGAAGTGCTCAACTTCTGCAAGGCTTGGAGCTTAGTTGGCAGCTTTGCTGTTAATGGGAGTGCTTCCCACACCTGATTTCCAAATTCTCTGACATTAATTTTGTTATTAAAAGAGCTTGCTGAATCATTATGCTTGAACATACAGGTTGCTTCTTGCCAAGTGACTTAGGTGAGAGAAGCAGCTTGCTGCTTGCCTGCAGCATCCTCACCTGCACGCACTGAGACACTGTTAGATCCAGTTAGGGCCATGGAAATTCATTTTCATGGCATAGCATATCTACCAGCAAGCTTTTGTGTATTTTTTTGACCTGCATCCAGGCCAAGGCCAAGACCTAAGAACCCAGATCCAGGCCCATATGTCTGTCTGTTTCCCACTCTTTCCATGGGGCACTGTCTAGTTGAGGTGGCTGTTCTTTCACTGCAGGCATTAAGTTTGGTTTGATGTGTTGTGGCCTTTGCAGCGGAGGTGTGTGCACAGTGCATGGTCTGCAGGCTCAAAATATTTATTGCCACAGTTGCCTGTGGTTGATGGGGGCTGAAAGTGAGGACATAAATGGTCCCTTCCTGTGTGCCAGTATAATGTTGTTTCATAAGCTTTATTCTTCCACTACTGATTTTTGAGTTTTTAGGATCAAAGCCTTCAGGGAGAGGGCTATAAAAGTAGGCTTTTTCTCCCCAGCTGGTGTGTAAACAGGCCTCATAAACAACATGGGAAGCTGTCTGACTAGATAGAGAAAACAGACTAAGAGCTATTGGCAAAACTGCTGCATTCAAAGAGTAATCAATCAGTCAAAGAGATGCAATGTGGCTTTTGCCAAGCTCTTTAAATGATAGAAATCTCACATTTCTCATTGTTTGGGTAGTGCTCCTTTAAAATCAAGCCATAATGAAAGAGGGCTGTACAAAACATCTAAGTGCACTCTTACTTAGTCTTGAAGAAATTTTATTTATCCAGTACCATTAAAGCCCACCAACATCCAGCAAGAACAGTTTTGCTCACCTTAAAAACCTTGTCAAAAGAATTGTTCTACTTTCTGTCTTTTCCTGAGACAGATTTTCCCTCTGGCAAAAGTGTGAGTGGGTTGGAATGCAAAGGCATGAGATCACCATCCCTGGAAGTGTTCAAAAGGTGTGAGAATAGGGAATTTGGGATGTGGTTTAGTGGAGAACATGGCATTGTTAGGTGAGTGGTTGGGCTTGGTCTCAGAGGTATTTTCCAACTTTAATGGTGCTATGATTCTATGAGGTTTAGGGAGTTTCACATTGTAGCACCAGAGAAATCTACAGCTGTGTGTGGGGAAGAGAAAATGTTCTCAGTGGCATCTCAGGTCCTGACTGAGACCTGAATTACACTGCTCTTTGGATCAGATCACTGCTGATCATTTCTTCTGATGGGACTCTGCTTCTTCCTTGGGTTTCACTGGTGCAGTCTGTGCTCAGTCACTGCTCTTATTGGGGAGGGAGCTCCCCTGCTGGAGCCAGTGTGCTGAGCCCAGAGAGCCTCCCCTCTCTCAGCCTGCTGCTCACTGCTGCTCTGGGCTGTCAGCATAAAAATACTTGATCTCATCTGCCTCAGTCTCCCTCTCTCCATTCCAAAGACATTTCCATATCACTTCAGTTTATGCCTGGTGAAGTGCTGAATCACTTACAGAAACTTTACATCCTACAGTACATATCTCCCCATCCTCTGTAGCCCATAAAGACCTGTGCTAGAGAGGTGCACAGATACCTGTTTGTAAAAGGGGACATTTCCAAAGACTCATTCCACTGCTAGGTGTGGTTCTGCTCTGCGCAAGTTCTGCTGGATCCACGTGGGCACGGGTGTGTCTCACCTGATGTGCTTGTGTGGCCCAGGTAGCTGTGGGCCATCAGATGAGGATTGTTTGCAAATAACCCCTCCCCCGAACCAATATTAATTAGTGTTAATAGTGGGTCCTTAACAACAATGCACTCTTACAGATCCACTGCACTTTCCTTTCTTTCAAGTACAGGCATATCTGGTGCCTAGAGGGGCTGAGCCTGTGCTGTGACTGCTGTTGAGCTTTGAAAACAGAGAGCTGAGGCAGAACATGGAGGGTTGCCTGGCCCCCAGGTTGAAGGCAGCTCTTGTTGCTCTGCATCTGGGAGTGGGAACAGAACAGCAAAACTGATGTCTGTACACTGCCCACAGCCTACATTGCTGCACTAGAGGTTTCTGCCAACTTTGGGCTGTCTGGTTCTTTGGCAAAGATCTTGCAACCTGAGCTTGCTTCCCTGGGAGCTTTTCTGGGATGCTGACGCTCTGTGTTGCAAGACGTGCAAGGTGATGGATCTTGTTTCTCTGAAGCCTGGCTTGCTCTGAATTAGCATCTCAGTGGACAGAGAGAGCTGGGTGTTAGGGCTGCTGGAAGATAATTCCCTCTTCAGCTCTCAGTCCCGGATTACTGTCTCTGTTCGCCAGAATCTGATCATCTGCTGCTTCCAGCACCCGAGTCTGGTCTTGTGAACAGTGAGAATATTGTAGTTACCTAAAGGAAATAGAAGCTGTGGCTTTTTTCAAGGCTTTTAATTTAGTTTTTGGATGGTCTCCTTCTCAAGCACAGCTCAAAAAAAAAAAATGAAAATAAAAGATGGAGTATTGTTTGAAAGGAGGGAATAATGGCAGGATACAACAGCAAAGATCAGTTGGTATGAATAACATCACTGTGCTAGTAAAAAAAATCTAGGTATGACAGGATAAAAAAGGTTTCTTGTTTCAGTCCTTTCAGTTTCAATATTTAAGCAGTTATTTTTAAATCCAGGATTATTGGGGGAGTAGTGTCTGTAATGACCATATATTTTTACAAGGAAGTCTGTCCTGATGTCTGCTTTTGCTTTTTTTTTTTTCTCCTTTTTACCTTTCTTTTTGCTACTGAAGTTCCTTCAGTAGGGATTTGTTTCTCATTTAATTTGCCTATGGAGCAGAAGCAGTGGTGGCAAAAGCAGCAGACATCAGCGCTGTCCTGCCTATCCCAGCCGGGATGCATGCACCACAATTTGGGAACCCAAATCCAAAATTAAATTTAAATCCAAATTACTTGTCTGCAATGTGAGTGCTTGCAGTCAATTCAATTTATCAGAGTCTATCTCAGCGCCCCAGATGTGGTGGTTTGGGGCTGTTAAATATGTGTTTCAGTCAACTCTCACAGCGGGATGTTGTTATTTATTAAACTATGTTACAATGAGCGCAGGGAGAAAACCGAGTGTGAATCGCTGCCTTCCCTGCCTAAGCAAGCGTATCCCTAAAGAGAAAGCAAGGCAGGAGGAATGACAATAACAGCCCTGACCCTCAGCCCAAGCCAGCAGGACACAGGGAACAGCTCAAGCAGGGCTCTTCAAGGGAGGCTGTGGATGTGTGTGGTGGGAGGAACTCTGGCCAAGGCGGACAAAGTCCCCCGGGGTTGGTGTTCCAGCCCAGCTCCTCTGCACGTTCAAATATCTCCTGTACAATAGTACCCTCTGTGGCTTGGCCAAAACCACGCAGCAGCTCTGCAGCACAGATAAGAACAGAATCCAAGTTTTCAGGCTGAGGTCAGGGAGAGCCTTTCATTTAATGTCTGTCAGACCTGGGCTTGGGCACGTGTGCTGGTGGAAAGATCATGGTCAGACAGACTCGAACAAAAGCCAGCCCCCTCTTTATGGCTTGAAATGCTAACATGACTTGGCTTGTACATGAGTAGGTAGAGGAATGATTTCACAGGAAGACAATCCTTTTACAAATGTGCTTCTAATTCTCTGTTTATATTGCTTCTTGTCTATGCTGCATTTTTAGGGGGCCCACTGGGAAAGCAGTGGGAGGACTGCAAGGAGAAGGGGTGGTGCCATGAGCAGAGATGGTGGCTCTGGGTCATTAACAGCTCTGGTGGGAGCCCTGCTTGTGATTTTCTCTGTCTCTCTTCAGGCTAAGTGTGCCTGATGTGCCTAAGTATGTCACCAGCAGCGATGCGCACATGGATGGGGATGATCAATGAGGCTCTGGATGAGAAATATTAGAGACAGATGTGTCTTGCAGTTGCTTTCTCTAACAGAATTGTGGCTTTGTTTGATGAGAGATTCTTTGATGTCGTGGTTCTTGTTTGCAGGTGAAGAGGAGGAGGATGGAATAGAAAGGACCTGTGACACCCTGCTCATGTGCATTGTGACCGTGTTAAACCAAGGCCTGCGGAACGGTGGTGGTGTGGGAGACGTGCTCAGAAAGCCTTCCAAAGATGTGAGTGTTTTGGCTCAGGAAATGCATTACTCCCTGCGCATCTTATGAATGCCAAAGTCAATTTTTGGAGGCTGTAGACAGTGTTTCTATCTAGTCTGATCTCATGTCACACCGTTGATCTATCCATGTAATTTTTAGATCCCAGATGGGATATTTAATGGGAAGAGCTAAGCTTGGTATGATGATGATACTTAAAGAAAGAATCTCTAGGTAGTTGTTTACTACTTCTGGAAAAATGCAGAATATCATAACCTTCAAAGCACTGCTAAGAAGTCAGCCCTGCCAGGCACATCTGGAGAGCTGTGTCCAGCCCTGGGCTCCTCAGCACAGGAGGGACAGGGAGCTCCTGGAGCAGGGCCAGCAGAGGCTGCAGAGATGATTTAGGGCCTGGAGCATCTCTGACAGGGAAAGGCTGAGGGAGCTGGGGCTGTCCAGCCTCGAGAGGAGCCCCAGCTGAGAGGGGCCCTCAGCCCTGGGTGTCCCTGTGAGCAGGGAGGGCTCAGAGCAGGGCCCAGGCTCTGCTCTGGGGGGCCCAGCGATGGCACCAGAGGAACGGGCAGGGACTGATCCCAGGAAGTTCCACCTGGACATTTTAGCTTATATTCAGCATGTCCCTGGAATAGGTCCTGTTGTTTACTTGTACTCAGCCAGCACGAAGAGCAAACCAGAATTTCATATATGGTGGCATATTTTCTCTTCCAGAGGTTTCCTCAAAAATGCACTTCATTTAAGGACCTCCCTTAATATTTGGGTGGTTTCATGCATTTTTATTTAGGTTCAGAAAGAATATCAGAAATAAAGGCAATCTAGCTGCACTTTGTTTGATGTGCCATACGTGTTATAAATAAATTCAGGATAAAGTAGGATCTCAGCAGGGCTTGCAAGAGTCCAGAGACAACTCAAATCTGTATGGAAGAGCTCCCTGTGCTGGTAATAGGAGTCTAAATCCAATCTCACAGACTGGGAGGCTCTGCAGGAGCCAAAGTTTATCCCCAGTGGAGTCCGTAAGCATTTACGGACTTTGAAAGTGACCCTTTGAAACTGAACCTTGCCACTTAGCAGCTCTTTAATGTTAATTAAATTGAAGCACTCCACAAAGGGTAGTGCTATTATTCCCATGAATGTGTGGGAAACTGAAAAATTGGGTGACTTCATGTCTCTATCACGGTGAAGAAAAGGACTTGGGTAGTCCCTCCCTACTCCTGTGAGAAGGGATAGCAGAATTTCGCATATGGAAAGAAAGATCTGTAGCTTTGCTTGAGCTAATGAGAAAATGTTGTTTAATATTTTAGATTTGTGCTGTTTTTATACCTTATTGCAACCTTGCTATTACAGGAGCCCTTGTTTGCTGCACGGGTTGTTTATGATCTTCTGTTTTACTTCATTGTCATAATTATTGTTCTCAACCTGATCTTCGGAGTCATCATTGATACATTTGCTGATCTCAGGAGTGAAAAGCAGAAAAAGGAAGAGATTCTAAAGACCACCTGTTTCATCTGTGGTAGGTGTTACTGATCTCTTGAGATATTTGAGAGTGAAAGGAGTGAAAATTAACTATTCCTCAATAAATAAAGCTTGGACCCCAGGCGTGGCTGTCCTCTACAAAGAAAGTCTGTAAAAATTCCAGAGCTTGATTCCAAATTTATTCCCTCTCAGTAGGAGACAGATTTGGTTTATGAATCAAAAGCTAGCTTTGCTGAGAGGTGGCTTCACAGTCTCCACCCAGAATCCGAAAGAACTGCTGATTTCAGAAGGTGCTATGAAGCAGGGAACAAAAAAATTTGGTGAAAATCATCCCCACAAAGCCCACGGAAAATCACGCTTATTTTGAAGTGCACTCATAAAGAGGGGCAGTCCTTCGCTCCCTGGGGGACTTCACAAATACCTGCTTTTTTGTAGGCTGGGTGCTGTTTCCATGGCTGTACTGACAGGGATGAATGCTGTGCAGAGCACAACATGTCTTTAGTGTCTGTGGACAGGGAGGAGAGCGGGAACATGGAGGCAAACACTGGTGATTCCTCTCCTTCCTCATTTCTTCAGAGATCCGGACCATTCTATAATGGACAAATCAAAAAAATTTCTTATGATGGCAGCTCTGTAGAGGCTGTGTAACAACAGAGCTGCAGGGACTCACCTTCTCTAAACCTTCTCAGGTTTAAGCCCACAAACAATCTCACTGAAGCTTAAGAGGGACTTTTTATATGCTTGATGCTAAAAGTGTGCATAAATCTTCGGAAGATCAGGGCCTGGTCTGCACAGTATGTGCTTCCCAGTATACATCTAGAAAGAGCCAGAGCCAACACTTGTAAAACACTTTATAGCCCTCAGCATGGAAGGCAGTGTAAAACTGTAACATATTTATTATATTGTTATTGTTATTAAGAGGAAATATCACAAAAGAGAATAAATGCTGCGTTGAAAGACTTCTGTCAGGAATGCCTTCTGGCCTGGTATTTCTTGCCTGGCAGTTATGGCTTTTAAATTAAGATCTTTCAAATTTATGATCCTTTAAATTAAGTTAGGTTCCTTTCTCTAACATATTTAAGAGATTTATGTAATTTTATGATGAAGTTTATTTTTTGGCTTTATGTTCTTCTCTTTTTGCAGGACTGGAGAGAGACAAATTTGATAACAAGACTGTTTCATTTGAGGAGCATATAAAGGCAGAACACAACATGTGGCATTATTTGTACTTTATAGTTCTTGTCAAAGTTAAAGATCCAACTGAATACACTGGCCCGGAGAGCTACGTGGCTCAAATGATTGTGGTAAGTCAATTTGGGCATGTGCTTTATGCAACTGAGAGATGCTTCGTGCAGCTAGGGCAGAGAATATCTTTCTTTTCCCCTCTCTCTGAACAATAGGAGGCATCGATCTGTATTTTTAAAGATCTTTTCACATGTCTTAGTCTGCAACAAAACCCGATCTTAAACATAATGAAAAAGATGAAGGTGCAGGCTGCGGTCTCCAGTTTGGCGTCGGTGCTCTCATGCTCTGTGGGTTCTGCTGCCTCATTAGCCAGAGCTGGGGCAGGGAGAGCATGTATCATAACATCTGCTGCTGCTCCAGCTTTGCCCAGTGTCTCTGGGCTGCTGTCCAGAAAAATAACATCTCCTGCCTCACACCAAAATGTGGGGTCAGTGCTCAGGGCTGGTGCTTTTCTCCTATGGCTGTTCTGAACAAGCCAGTGAAAAGACCAAGCAGAGCAGCCACAGGGATTTGAAGAGCCACAGAAACTGCCTTGTGAAGCAGGGAGAGCACTTGGATTCAGAGAGAGAAGTGTGATGATGCTGGGCCAGAGAGGTGTTCGATTACATTTTGTTTCCAGCCTGCTGCCGAAGAGGGTTTGTTCTGCTGAGTGAGAGGAGTGGATTATCAAGGCTGCCTGGCTCGGGGCTTCATTTTGGAGGCATTCTGCCTGCCTGCTGGGATATTCTGGCGCAGCATTTTCTTCCTGTAGACTTGCTGGCAGGTATTGCACTGCTCAGGGCCTGTGCCAGGCTCTGTGGTTGCAGAGCTGGCATATGTCTGAATCCCGGAGGAGGCTGTAACCAAATGCACATCAGGCTTCACTGTTTATGCATTTCTGGAGCCACATTTCTTACCAAGACTATCTCTCTGTTATTCCTCAGCAAGCCTTTGACTGGGCATACTATCCAGCCTCATTAATGAGGTGCTGGGTGGCCTTTTACTCCCCAGTTCAGCCCAGGGGAAGATTCTTCCCCTTTCACTTCAGCTGTTGTCAGGTCAGGCGCCAGGTTTCCATCGATCCCAGCTCCTTTCTGCCTTGTCAGTGCAGAAAGCTGGGTTATTTATCCTGCATTCAGATGGGTGTCCAGGATAGCTGGGCTGACTCACCTTTCTCACTCCATTGAGAGCCTAAGTGGTTAGTTTAGACAAGATGCCTAATTGGGAGCAGGCTAAAATTAGAGCTGACTCCCAAGCACTGTGCAGGCTTATGCAGAGCTTACCTTGAAGAACTCACATTAGTGGGAATGGTGGTGTTTAGACAGGAGTGTGGACAGCTTGATTGCTGGAGTTAAATGGAGCTTTTTTAAGTGCTATTGCCACTAGAAGGGCAGTAGCAGAAGGCAGGTGCTGTGGAAAGTGATGGGAATTCAGTGCTCAGGTGCAGAGGAACAACCTATTTCCTTCAATTTTGAACCATCAGTCTCATTGCCCAGCTCAGGGTGTTTATACTGTAGGCAGTGATGGATCTATACTTCTGCAGTTTGGTGAGTGAGGCAGAAAACCTAAAACAAATCCTTCTAGACTCTGTTACTCTGCATTATGAGAAATTATTCATAGTGGCAAGTTGTCCTGTTACACATGGAAATATTTTAGCTTATGTCAGAAATACATTTTGTGGAATCAGTCTCTGGGGCCTGTCTCATTTGTTCATTCCTCCTCTTCCTCTCTCTGCAATGTTTGTAGGATTTTAAACTTTGTGGTATATATGTTAAGTATTAATGTTTAATTCCAAGAGATGCATTAATATTCTTAGTAAGTATATGCATCCTGTGGCAGCAGTGGTTTGACTTTTCTGATGTGTAATTCACTAATGTATTTTACTTCTGCTCTTAATGGCTGGAACTCCTCTGTGAATAGTACTAACAGAAAAGCACCAAAAACTCATGTGGCACCGAGCACTGAACTGATTTCTCAATGCCCCTGTTCCTCAGTGGCAGAATGCTGGTTGTTTAAGTGGTTAGCAGTACTCCAGATTTTGAGGTTATTAAACTGTTTAATAAAGGTTATTTTGGATGATGGAGAGGTACCATCGTCCATTCTATGGACCTAGAAATGTAAAGCTTACATGGAGTGAAAGTATAAATGGTAGAGTGGGGGGGGAAAAAGGAGAAATAAATGTTAGAACAAACTACAAGCATCTGGTATGGGATTAGTAGTTGTGTCTTTTTGAAGTTGTAATTCCTAGTATGAAATCCAGAGAAGATGTGCTGCATAGCAGGAGCAATTGGAACTTCTTAAGTGAACAAAAAAAGGGAAACTTTCTCTTGGAACCAGAGAATTTACTGTATACCCCATGCTACAAGGAATACTAAGAAATTAAAGAAAATAATGAGCATAATAATGATTGGAGCAATGGAGTATGATATTGGACTGGAAGAAGAGATTTGGAGATACAGCTTTGCTTAGGACCAAAAGAAGAGTCAAAAGGAAAACTCTCAGAGGCAGTTTTTTGCAGCTGTCAAATGTATGAGCTGCTCTAGCAAATGTGTTTGGTGTGTCCCAAACACAGCCTGATAGTAATGAAGTATATACCACAGGCACGAGATGTGCTACATTCCATGCACTAATTAAGCCTGAGTATGGCTTTTGTCACGAAGACAGAGAGAGAAGTTGCTTCAGACTCTCTGACAGCCTGAAAGCTGTGTGACCGTCCTCGTAATGCTGGGAGAAGTGACAGGGTAGGACAGCACATCCTGGTTAGGATCTGGCAGAAAAGAGGCTCAAAATTAACCTTTCACAAGGGACTTGCCAGTGGAATTGATTCATTGCTGAAAAAGGCTTGTTGAGGGTGTATGGGATTGAAGGAAAAATCTATAGATATGGGTGGGTTGGGATAGCAGGGCAGTCTCGGGACCTCTTTGGAAAGGACAAGGTGGCATGGATTTTATATTTCATGCTATACAGAATATGGCTGAGAAAACCGTGAATCATGCTCCTGGAAAAACTCTTCATTCTATTAGTTTATGTTATGATCAGGAATGCCTTCTATGGCTGCTTCTGTAACTTTAATGGATTCTGTGGAATTTAATAGAATTCTGTGGAATTTAATGGAATTCTGTGTTTTCGCAGCCAGATCACTTAAGGAGAACTTCTACCCAAATCCAGTCTTCAAGTCCTTCGATACACATAGGTCAAAATTTTTGGAGTATGCTGCAGTAATTTTAATAGACAGTAGAGGTTAGCTCCAAGTATCCTTGGAGTAGATACTAGTAGTGAGTATTCCTCACTATCCCTACAACTGCAGCAAGGAACCTGCAGTTAAAAATTTTTGTTTGCGTTTGCCTACTCCTGTCTTGCAGAGTATTGCAAGAGTTAACATTGGAATAATGATCAGTATTAACTAAGCACCAGGAAAAGCATCTACAATTTCTGATAGTCCTTTTCTCTGTTGCCCAGCCTCATCAGAGCCCAGAAATATGACTATCTTCTTTGTGACTCTCAGTCTTTTCCGTGTATCATTTGTCAAGCAAACAGCGAAGCATCTGGTTTGAAGGCTTGCTGATAGCACAACAGATAAAAAACCAGGAATATTGTGGTTTCCTTGCTTTGGAATGTTAGTTGAAAGGCTGAGTGCCAAAACGAATGGGAGTTATTTACACATCATAGTTCACCTCTCCAGCTTTCCAGCTCAAGAAGGGGAAAGAAACACGTGGGTGATGTTGTACACACCCCTCACTCAAATGGAAGATTCTTGCAGGTTTCCAAGTTCACTTTTATTTCTGTTCTAGGGCTAGTTTGCTTCAAGGCATTCCTCTTATCTTGTGTGTCTCTGGCCTCAGAACACCTTGGGGTAGAGCACTTCTTTTGCTTTCTTGCTCTGGACTGTGGACACTGTCTCTGCAAACTCCTGATGTTCCCTGTGATTTTGATTTTCCCAGCAGCTCTGTGTTTGCTTCAGTGCTTAGCATACTGCTCTGAGCAGTGATTGAAGTAGTCTGGAGCTATCCAGCTTTCATAAAGAAAGGTATTAATTTTTCTGTGTTTTTTTCTTTTTAGAAAAAAGCATCAAGCATAAAATGTATTCTAAAGCAACACACAGTTTATACACCTCAAGCTTTATGGAGCTGTTGGTGGGAATAAAGCACTTCAGCTCTTCCAGCGTTGCCCTTTCTTCTTGCACACTATCTTTTATCAGTTTTCGGGTGAAATATTAATGAATATTAAAGCAGGGCAGTAAGTTTTTATTATTTATTTGGTCTCCAAGCCTCTTTAATGAAGTCAGACAGGTATTATACAATATCTGAAGAGACAGAAACTTTGAAAAGCTGGCTGCATGCCTTGTGTTTGCACTGAGATCCTGCATGAATGATTCCCCTATTGAATTTTCATTCCTGTAGAAAAAACCCTGTTTATCTGACTCATTTGACCAGAAACACCATCCCTAGCAAACTCAGAGATGCACATGACTTGTATTACATTGATACAGCAATTGTTGGATGTTCCTTGTGTCCATTTGTCAGAGGAGACAGTTTAATGTGATAACTGGAACAATGAAGGTTAATGTCCAAACTTTTATACTTTGCTTTTAAGAGGTGTAATTTGTACACACATATTTCACTCAAGCCTTGGTAGCTGTAAATAGATATATGGAGGTTAAAAAAAAAGGACATGACTAGTTACTGAGTTTTTTGCAGCTCAACAGAGATATGATTTTAGCCTGTGATTTGTACCTCCATTCATTTGCAAAAGTAAAAAGCTATTGGCTTAGCAATTAAATTAATTATTTTTCCCATTGAAAGAATGAAAGACTTTAGTAAACGAAGCCCTAAAACTTTCATTCTCACGTGCTCTGTCCACAGTTCTTAGCAAGTTTCGTAATGGCTTTTATCAGCATTAGTGCTACCTGTCATAACTACATAATTACAGCACCTAATTATATTATTACTTATTTACCCTAGTTATGTAATTGGATGTAATTGTGCAATTATGTAACTCCTCAGTCAGCTGAAAAATGCTCTAAAACCAGCCTGTGCTCCTAAGAGTAAAGGATACTGCTGTGAATTGGACCCTCTCTCTA